GGCCCCTATAAAATGTACTCGGGGTTTGTTTCCCCCATCCCAACCCCTAAATTAAAACCCAAAAACCAAAATACTTTCCTATATCCTTCCTTTAAACTGGGAATTTTTTTCCCAAATTAAAAACCAAATTTCGGGGGTCCCGTCTAGGACAGGGGGGCCCCAAATTTAGGGCAATATAACACTAAACTGTGGACTGTGGGGGTTTTTCTGCACCTTAAATCTGATTCTGTTGCCAACCTCACTTAAAGGAAAAGTTTTTAAGGGCTGTTTGTAGAGTGAAGTATCTTTCCCAGTTTGGGCTGTTTTTTAAAATGCGATTTTTTCCATCCCCCACAAAACCCCCGGTGGATTTTTTGGGGGATAGCGTAAATTTTTTTTAAGCCCATAAAAAAAGGTTTTTTCTTATTTTGGTAAGGCAAACATTGAAAGTAAACATCAGTTTTTCATAGAAATAAAATTTTTTTGAGGTTTTGTTTCTTTGTAGGCTAGTTTGGAATTTTAAAAAGCACTGTTTTTTTTTCCCGCTTGGTACCCCCGCAGTTTGGGAATCCTTTTTCATTTACTACGTATGTTAAGGGGAAAAGGGGGTCCCCTTTAAAAAGCGGGAGGGGGGGGTCTCCCTGCCGGTCTCTTGGGTGGGCTGTGGCTGGGGGATGTTTTGGGTGTTAATTTCAACACGCAGATAGCTGCTGTTGGTCATTTTGGGCTTTGGGAAATTGGTTTTTTTGACAAATGGGGAAGTTTTTTGGTCCACTCTTGATCTTTCCTCTTTAAAAGTTTGGGAGTAAGTTTGGGTGAAATTGGTTTTTAGAGTGTTGATGGTGTCTAAGGGGCCGGGTGTTTGGGTGTTTCTTTGGGTTTTTCTAGAGTGTCCCAGTTTTTTGTTGAGGTAATCTCATTGCTTTGGGTTTTAGTTCCTGGGATTTCTTGAGTTATTTGGGGGATCGTTTGGTTTTTGGATCGGGAAGGAGTTTAGCTATTTCCCGGGGCGGTGATCTTCTTGACATCAAATCTGGGAAAAGGGGGGGAGTTATCTTGGACTGTGACGGCGGCCATGTTTGTTGTTGTCTGTAGTGTGTTGTGGTGGTGCCGGGTGGGTGATGGGGGTTGTGTCCTGGCTGCCAGTACCACAAGTTTTCCTAGTGTTTTTACTGCTCTCACCTTTGATATTAGGAGTCCTTAGCTGGTTACTGGATCTTCTTTTATTGCTGTGACCCTTGTCCATTGGCTGTGGCTTCGGGTGAATAATAGGCGATGGGTGAATGTTGTGGAGTATCACTTCAGTGGCAGCGGGGTAGGAGGTGGTAGTACGAGTCCTATTAGTTGGTAATTTGTGAACTTTTGGGTGATTTCTGCAGTTGATTTATATCATTCTGGGTATCCACACATGTTAGTGTTATGTGGGTCTTGATTAGGTCATCACTGGGCTGCTGGGAACCTCAGGTAGAAGTAAAAATAGAGGACAAGGTTCCTGTTGCCGCTGCCGCTGCTGTTGCGAATTTGAGGCCTAAGCTGAGGACTTCAGTTTCTGTGGTTGACAGTGGACGAGATGAAAGATTTTGAATAATTTCAGGTCTTCCTAAACTTTTCCAATTACTATTATCGCAGTGTGTTTGTAGTTTCCTAGTAAGTCTAATCTTCTGTTGAACATTCGCTGTGGTAACTCTGCTGCGAATGATTTCGGCGGTGCGTCTCTTCATGTTGCCCCGGAGTGTTGTGCCTAGTGTTCTGGCTTGGAGAAAAGCTTCCTGTGTAGCATTGTTTAAGTCATCCGCACACTCTTCAAGGTAGGTCCGAGCTGTAGCGGAGAAAGGTGGTTTGATGTTGGCAATTTGAGGAGGAATAGATCTTGGTAAGACCATTTCTTGGATGCAATCACAAAGAAAATTGTGTCTGTTGCGGAGTAAGCTTTTAGAAGAAGGTCCAGGTATTCCCTCAGAACAAGGGAAGAAACTTCTGCACAACATGCCCAGCAACCCCCGCCCTGCCAGAAGTAGGGGCCTCCCAAAAACTCCATCTGGTACCCCCCTGGGCCCATATCCTCGGGAATAGGCAGGTCCCACAGCTCTCAGGAATTTTCGCAAAAGGGCCCCTTTAAACCCTTTTGGCACTATCAGCCCCAGACATCTCAAAATGGGTGTTTTCTAAATCGCATTCGAAAACATCAACATCAGGAACAAGAAACTTTCCAGCCTTGACGGATTTCCCCTATTCCCCAAAAGTCCCCTTACACAACCCTCGATCTCTTACCAGGAAATTGACGTTAAATTGCTTTTCCCCCTTTCCAGCCAGCGATTTCATCGCCGGGTTAAAACTTGGGGGTTTTTACGTTTTCTCTTTCAAAAATACCTCTTTCTTTAGACTTTGGATACCCGGGGGTTCGCCACTCAGTGCGGCCCGGCGAACCTATACATGAACATCTAGAAGCCAAATTTTCTCCACCATTTTTCCTTCGTCTGTCCCCCGGGCTCCGTTATTTTGACATTTCCCCTCAAAAACCCTAAACGCTTCAACGTTCAAGCTCTCCAAGACAAGTCAACCAGGTCGAGCCTTAATCCAGTTTCCACTTGAAGAAGAAGTCGACAACAATTTCCCTTTCTTGATGTTCTGCTCTCAAAGTGCCCACAAACTTCGCTTTTAAGCTATCGAAACCCCCCAAACCCAAAACGATTTTTCCCCATTCTACTCTCCCACGCCCAAAAAACTAAACGGGGTGTAATTATAGGTTTCTTCCTGCGTGCATCAAAACTCAGCAATGATTTTTTAAGAATGCGCGAAAATTGAACAAGTATTTTCTAAACTCCATTCCTCGTCACTTTCCAGAACTGCAGACGGGGGGCTTTAAAGCATTTTAACACCCCCAGAAAAGACACTGCCGAAAAGAGATCATAGCCTCCCCCCAACTCCATTGCCAAACACTTTCCCCAACACTTTTCCAATCCCTCATTCCAAGTATCAACCTCCAAACCCCGCCACAAGGATTACCAGTGATAACAGGACAAGCTTCCCCCCTGCAGGGGTATCATAATCCCTTGTAATGCTGCAACAAATTATCTTGGCGAAACTCAAGGGACCCCCAAACAGTATTCGAACACCCTCCAAGCAGGTCTACACACAAGGAATGCCTGTGTACATACAAAAACCCTAATTCAACAACCACTTGATAAACTAAAAAAACCAAGACTTATCGCCAAGAAGACAAAATCAAACCGGAATCCTGGAATCATCACTTTTTTCTTTTCCGAAACTTAACCAGAATTGGCTTTTGTAACATAGGAACCACTTGCCCAAAAACTTTTTCATCGCTATCCCAAAAAGAACACAGGAAAGGGAAAAAACCTGAGAAGGTTTCACAAACTTATCCAATTCCTTTCCAAGTACCCCGTTTTAGACTCTAAACCCCACTCGGGACATCAATGCAGCATTTCCACCTACCTCGCATTTGAACCTGATATAAATACTCGCGCCCTTCCACCCCCGGTAGATCTGTTTGTGACTTGAAAAAGCCCACTGTGTGGGCGAAACGGAGTCAATAAAGGATCACATTATACTGCATATGTGTTTATCTTTCCGCCTGTCAGATTTACTACCTCGTAAGCTCTAGGCCCTCTCATACCTGACTTTAAACTGTATGGAGCCTACCTCGTCTACTTCCTCAACATCATTCCAATTCTCGACCACTCTTAGAATAAATATTTCATACATCCTATTGGTTAATTTAATTTAATAATATTTAGTATCTCTATTTCTACAAATACATGTACAAGGTATACAAGTCTAGCTGATGTCAGTGACATACTACTATATAGAAAGCCGCTTGTTATGCAGAGCATTTCGGGCAAATTAGGTCAATTTTTGTCCTAGGATGCGACGCACACCAGTCCACTAACACCCAGGTACCCATTTTACTGATGGGTGAACATGGAAAACAGGTATAAGGAAACACGCCCAATGTTTTACCCTTGCTGGGAATCTAACCTGGACCCTCGGCGTGTGAAGAGAGAGCTTTGCCACCCAGGCCACGAGCCAACTTTAGTCAGTCTCTCTAACTTCCACTGTGTCCTCAAGTAAATGTACATACATGCTAGTGGCTTTCTTTTCTGCTTGACTATATTTTTACTACGTGTAAACTACCTTTTTATACTGCACAAAGAAATAAATTCCGTTTCTCGCCCTTCAAGAAACCTGTTCCTGTTTACCCTGTCAATTCTCCCGAGTATTTTATATTATTCTGTTTTCGCTGGTTCTTCTGCCCTCTAGTGTCGTTAGATTCGGTTTCTTTAGTTTCTCCTCGTAGCTCATTCACTTTGGCTCAGGGACAAGCCTTCTTGCATGCTTATGTACATTTTCCTGTTTCTTAACTTGCTTTTCCAGGTACGGGTTCCATACTGGTGCTGCATACTCTTAAGATAGGCATAACTTATGTTGCGTAAAGAGTAACTCTCTTGAGATTCCTGATGGTTACTAAGGAGCATTGACTGTTCAAGTTGTTCAGCTGATGTGAGCGTCTAGCGATATACCAGACACTGTGCTCCCAGCCCTAGGTCTTTATCTATGAGTGAAGTCTGCAGCCTCTGCCACCATGAATTAATACTGTCAGTCGTCTTATGTCTTCCCTGATCTCCATGACTTCGATTTCGCTGAGGTTGAATTCAAGCAACCACTTACCTGATCAACCTTGTAGTTTATCCAAATCCATTTACAGCCTGTCCCTGTTCTTATATTTTTATTCTCGTTAGTTTGACAACAGGGATACGTCGGATTCACATCTAGAAAGCCATTCACACGAACTAGAAACAGTACTGTCCCTAATACAGATCCTTTATATATGCAATAAGATCACAGTAAACAGGTGATACAATATGCAGAAAAACCACTGTGGAAAAAAATAGTGAACTTCCAAGCGCTTTCGTGATCTCTCGCATTATCAAGGACCTGTCACTTTATATATAATATATATCTGTAATATGCCCTATTGTTTGTGTCCACCTGGCCTCTAGGTTTATGCAGCAGACGTCAGTGCTTCTGGAGGAGGAAGAAGACTCGTTGTATGGCGTGTCAGCCTTCTCCCACTTCGGTAGCTCCCACACATCTAGCGACCTCGAACGCCTCCAGAGAGTGACATCATTTCCCTCCTGCGGCTGGATGACTACCAGAGCCTTCCTGACTGAGACACTTCCGAAGTGGCCCCCGGCGTACGTGGTAAGGACGACAGGCTCGCCAGGATGTACTTAAGTAATTCCTTCGAGGGGCGCCTTGATGCTGGTAGAGGGCTTTCCATTAAACTCGTATTAAATCTGTCATTTTCCAGGCGATTTATGACCCAGTACGAATTTAGCGCTTCTCTGTGAGTATAATAGTGTGCTAGATATGTTTATACAAGTCTAATTATAGCTGTGAACATTTTCAGTGGATTGAGATGATGGGTAAATGTTAATCTATCATAGTGCCAGTTAATAAAGACGTCAATAAAACTATTCCAAAAGCTGTCGGGCTGAAATTTAACATCAGTGGTGGCCTGGTGGTTAACGCTCTCGCTTCACACGGTGAGGGCCTGGGTTCGATTCCCAGCCAGAGTAGAAACATTGGACGTGTTTCTTTCCACCTGTTGTCTATGTTCCCCATCAGTAAAATGGGTACCTGGGTGTTAGTCGACTGGCGTGGGTCGCATCCTGGGACACTGACCTAAGGAGGCCTGGTCACAGGACGGGCCGCGGGGGGTTGACCCCGGAACTCTCTCCAGTAAATCTCTCTTCCAAGAAATAGGTTTAAAAGGCGCCAGTAGGTTAAATGTTCCGGGTTAAAATAATACTGGGTAATACAAAATTTCGGCAGTTTTTGTAGAAATTTGGGAAAATAGAACAAAATTTTGCCCAGTTTGGGATGTTATGGGGTTTTTCTTGAAAGTACTCACCTATGGATTCCGGGGGTCGATCATGTCCGGCCTGTACTCGCCTAGTTGTACTCCCTAGTTGAGGTTGCGGGTCGAGTCCGGCCCCTGGCCCCCCCCTCTTCCGGGTCACTACTGGGTCATTCTCCCTGAACCTGAGCTTTTCTACCTCTGTTTAAAGCTATTAGGTCCTCCCTCCACTATATGTTTTCCCAAACTATTCCATTACTGCTACTTTGGGAAAAAATATTTCCCAACACCCCTGGTTTATCGTGTCTTCAACTTCCAACTGTGCCCCCCTTGTTCGGGTCCCATTTTGGGAACACCCTTTTTTGTCCACCTTGTCAATTCCTCCATATTTTGTATGTAGTTATCAGTCCCCCCTCTCTTCCCTGTCCCCAGTGTGTCGGGTTGATTTCCCTTAACCTCTCCTGTAGGACAAACCTCTTAGCTCGGGGAACTGTCTTGTTGAAACCTTGCACTTTCTCTAGTTTTTTCCGTGCTTGGCTAGGTGGGGGTTCCAAACTGGTGCCGATACTCCAATAGGGCCTAACTACACGGTGTCAGGGTCCTGAAGTTCCTTTTTAAGATTTGGAAGCTGTTCTGAGGTTTGCAAGGGGCCCTATCTGCGCAGTTATTTGGTTGATGTGCGCTAAAATGTCCCGGGTTAATCCCCAAGACTTTTTCCTTGAGTGAGGCTTGTAGTCTCTGGCCCCCTAGACTGTACTCCGTCTGCGGTCTTCTTTGCCCCACCCCAATCTTCATAACTTAGCACTTGGTGGGATTGAACTCCAGGAGCCAATTGCTGGACCAGGTCTGCAGCCTGTCCAGATCCCTTTGTAGTTGTGTGTGTGTGTGTGTGGTTGCAGGGGTCGATTCACAGCTCCTGTCCCCGTGTGTGTGGGGGGGGGGGAACGGGGATGGAGTGTTCGTGTGTATGCATATATATTTCATCTATCCATTTATTTTGTATATAGTGTCTCGTATGCGTTTTTTTGAAAGTTAAAAAAAAAGGGTGGGGTGGTTTCCTCTTGCCTGAGAGGGAATGTCTGAGAGCACAGTTACACTTACAAAAGAAAAATGAGAAGTTTACCTTTGTTCAGAGGTGGGAAAGTTATTTACGCTTTACCCTCAAGGGTATGGGGGGAGAGATGTGGATAGGGGGAAAGGCAGGTATTCTGGGACTCCAAGTTGGCAGGGTAGAGTGCCTTGCCAGCTGGGACAGAAGAAGGGAAAGACAGGGTGAATGATAGCACAAAATTCGACTCTTGTTAGACGAACCATACAAGAACCTTTCCCACTTGCTCTCTGATGTCGGATTTTTCATTCTCTATTATCGCCTGCTACCCTTCTCTCTATTTCTTTTGTCTCCTATTTCTAATTTTGCAGTTTCCTCTCACTGTATATTCGCTCCTTCCTTTTTGCTATATTTTCAATATTCTTGTTTCCATTATTCATTATCTTTTCCTTCTGTTTTAATATTCAAAAGTTTAGTTTGCTTTTTACAATCATTTGCATATAATCAATACTTTAATAACCCAACACGAGGTATATGTGACGTACACATAACTGCGTCACAAGCCTGTTAGGAGTCTCACAAGCCTGCTTCTTGTTTTTTTGCAAGCCTGGTTTTGTGAGTTTTACAAAGCTAGTTTTTGTGAGCCTTTGCTTTCAGATGGTCTGAAAAATATCTCCGGCAACCCAGCTGATGGATAAAGAAAAATGAAGTATATAGAGTCAGAAGATTACCAAGGAGCAGTGTGGGTCCAGGGGGAGTGTGGGTCCAGGGGGAGTGTGGGTCCAGGGAGAGTGTGGGTCCAGGGAGAATATGGGTCCAGGGAGTGTGTGGGTCCAGGGAGTGTGTGGGTCCAGGGAGAGTGTGGGGTCCAGGGGGAGTGTGGGTCCAGGGGGAGTGTGGGTCCGGGAGAGTGTGGGTCCCAGGGAGAGTGTGGGTCCAGGGAGAGTGTGGGTTCCGGGGGGAGTGTGGGTCCGGGAGAGTGTGGGTCCAGGGAGAATATGGGTCCAGGGAGTGTGGGGGGTCCAGGGGTGTGTGGGGTCCAGGGAGAGTGTGTGGGTCGAGGGAGAGTGTGGGTCGAGGGAGGGGTGTGGGTCGAGGGAGGGGGCGAGGGAGAGTGTGGGTCGAGGGAGATTTTGTGGGTTCGAGGGAGAGTGTGGGTCGAGGGAGGGGAGGGGGGTGTGGGTCGAGGGAGAGTGGTGGGTCGGGAGGAGTGTGGGTCGAGGGAGGGGTGTGGGTCGAGGGAGAGTGTGGGTCGAGGGGGGAGGTGTGGGTCGGGGAGGAGTGTGGGTCGGGGAGGGTGGGGGTCGAGGGGAGTGTGGGTCGAGGGAGAGTGTGGGTCGAGGGGATGTGTGGGGTCGAGGGAGAGTGGGGGGTCAGGGGAGAGTGTGGGGTCCGGGGAGGGGGGGTTCGGGCCGCAAGATTTTCATAGCTAAAAAAGTTACTAGTAATGAAGTATTTACATTATATTTAGGCAGACATGAATCAGATCACAAAAATATTACCGTATATTTTAGCAACGTTTGTTTGTAAGAAAGTTTACCTTACTTGTGTCTGGCTTCTGACACGTGTGTGTGTGTGTGTGTGTGTGTGTGTGTGTGTGTGTGTGTGTGTGTGTGCGTGCTCATTTGTGGTTGCAGGGGTCGAGACTAGGCTCCTGGCTCTGTACTCTCCTAATTATACTTGCCTAATTCTGGTTGCAGGGGTCTATACTCAGCTCCTGGCCCCACCTCTTCACTGATCGCTGCTCCCTGAGCTTTGTCATACCTCGTCTTAAAGCTATGTATGGTTCCTGCCTCAACTACTTCACTTGCTAGACTATTCCACTTCCTGACTATTACTGAAGAAATACTTCCTAACATCCCTGTGACTCGTCTGAGTCTTCAGCTTCCAATTGTGAACCCCTTATTTCTGTTCCCTCTCTGGAACATCCTCTCTCCGTCCACCTTGTCTATTCCACGTAGTATTATGTATGTCGTTATCATGTCTCCCCTGACTCTCCTGTCCATTAGTGTCGTCAGGCCGATTTCCCGACTTTCTCTAATTTTCTAATGTGCTTGATCAGGCGTGGGTTCCAAACTGGTGCTGCATACTCCAGTATGGGCCTGACGTACAGTGTACAGTGTCTTGAACGATTCCTTACTAAGGTATCGGAACGCTACACAGATTTGCTAGGTGCCCATATGCTGTAGCAGTTATCTGGTTGATGTGTGCTTCAGGAGACGTGCTCGGTGTTATACTCACCCCAAGATCTTTCTCCTTGAGTGAGGTTTGCAGTCTTTGGCCACCTAGCATATACTCTGTCTGTGGTCTTCTTTGCCCTTCCCCAATCTTCATGACTTTCCAATTGGCGGGGTTGAATTCGAGAAGCCAGTTGCTTGACCAGGTGTTCAGCTTGTCTAGGTCTCTTTGTAGTCCTGCCTGATCCTCATCTGATTTAATTTTCCTCACCTAAAGTCGGTTCCTGACCAGCCGGGCTCTGGCTCGTACGTTGGTTTGCGTGCAGCCAGCAGTAACAGCCTGGTTGATCAGGCTCTGATCCACCAGGAGGCCTGGTCACAGACCGGGCCGCGGGGGCGTTGACCCCCGGAACTCTCTCCAGGTAAACTCCAGGTTAACTTCACATCATCTGCGAACAGGGACACTTCCGAGTCTAATCCTTCCATCATGTCGTTCACATATACCAAAAATAGCACTGGTCCTAGGACCGACCCCTGTGGGACCCCGCTCGTCACAGGCTCCAAATGTGATTCCCTCATCCGTGCCGTGACTCGTTGTTGCCCCCTGTCAGGTATTCTCTGATCCTTGCGTGCCCCTTTCCCTTTTTTACGCGCCTGATGCTCCCGCCCTTCTGCCCTAATCTCTTGTGAGGAACTGTGTCGAAGGCCTTCTTGCAATCCAGAAAAATGCAATCAATCCACCCTCTCTCTCTCTCTCTCTCTCTCTCTCTCTCTATCTTTACACAGGGTTTGACAAGGTTAAGGATCCCTAGCTTTTATTGACAAGCTATTTACAGGTTAAGGATTCCTAACTTTATTGACAAGCTAAGAGCTGGACTACAATCAGCTCATTTGAAAGCATTTTTATTGTTATGAGACATACAAGTAGGGAACAGGATGAACTTGGAGCCATCTGTGGGCCAGCATTTTCATTTGATCAACTGACTTTATCTCGTTGACATCATTATGCTGTACGAATGTGTTCCATACTCGAGTCATCCTGGGTATATATGATTCAGATGGAGTGATGTTCTGGAGGGAAGGGGACAGCCAGAGTGAAGTTCCTGCTTTCTGGGCCCGTCTTGTGGCATAAAAGCTTGTTTTCACGCTGTCCTCGAAGTGGATAAAGTGTGGTTATTTTGACAATATTGGCCTTGTACATAACAGTAAGGCCACCCAC